CTTACCGTTAATGCAGACTAATAGTGTGCGTTAAATTGCTTTGGTACACGCAGGTGACGCTTGTGTATCATGGTTAACATTACTTCGCTAAAAACCTGTAATTCTCGAATATGATTGCGTAACACCAAGTGGAATAATTTGACGGGCGATTGTGATTGCGTAATCGGTTTCGTTCACATCATGGATTGGATGACACTTGGCTATGAGTTCTGATACTCATTCTGACCGATTACGATACATCCGGCTAACGTATTGCAGCCACAACCGGAGGAGAAACAGCCTTCAGTGTTGCAAGGCAGCAATGGAGATTAGACTCTTTGATCTCTCGTGGCATGCTAGTTGGCCCGACCTATACGTTGCGGTTTTCAAGTATTTTGCGATTCTCCTTTTCGCTTTAAGCGGTTTGGCCACACAGTTAATGTCCTCTCTAAACATTCATGTGATTTTTAATGAGTTGCGCAACTTCTGATTTCTCAAAATGGGATATCTTGTTATCTGTTGTAAAGTTTATGTTATTTCCATGGTTGACGAAACCTTTGCTGGGTAAATTCGGTTAAAGACTAGAAGCGGCCAGCAAGATATCGGTTCTCGCTCGCACTGGTTGATCGAATGTCATACCCTTTGTTGTGGTGTATGAAGTCTGCAACATTTGGAGGTCTGACAAATCGCCTTCACGAAAGAAGTTGTAATCATTTAAATGGTTCCCAGTGCATTTTTTTTTTTGGGGGGGGGGGGGGGNATATATCCTTATTAGAAAAACGTGTTTTTCTGATTTATTTTGGTTTACATTTGCCCCTTATGAGGAAAGGCGCCACCTGTCATCTGGTGAATACCAGCGCAAGTTGGTATTCCCGTATAGTTATGCCATGACGGTGTACCGTGGTGAAATGCTCTCATTGTTGGAGATCCATATTTATCGAAAGGTGGACCAATTGAAGATGCTTAGTGGGTGGCTCACGAGATCACCACGTCTGTTCTAGCACTGGACTTTTTCCTCTGGATAGACCTGAGATGTACGGCTTGTACGAGAAAACAAAACAACACTCAGGACTTGCAAGTAGGTAAACAATACCAGACCAATTAGAAGGTAGGAGAAAAGCTACTCTCTCTGCCAAGTTTTGCTGTACAGACGAAATATTGGGATGATTCTTGCTGAGCTTATTTCCTTTGTGATATCCGTAACCAGTTTCTGTCCAACTAGCTTTCACGAGTAGTAATCAATTGGCCAATGATTGTTTCTTGCAGTAATCGAATATTCTTGCTATGCCGCTCGTCTATTGAGCCCAGCAATCGCCCTCAGGCTAGCTGCACAATTAGACATCACAATAAACCAGCACTTCTCATCAGACAGGTAAACGATGGTCTCTAAAGTAAAGTGGATAAAATCTGATTTCCGCAGTTGCGATTGAGTCGACGAGCCACAGCCAGATTCATCATCGGGCAGAGTTAGATGTGATATCAAACCTCCGAAAAAGGGTTTTATCAACTGGCTCCCAGACAATATAGCTGCGAAGGTCACCGGATCGATTGAAGAAGAGCACTTGTTCTTTCAGTTCATACCCTCGAACAAATCCAGGGCTAGTTTTTTATTATAAATTAGTTTGTGCCATTGTGTTTTAACATGCAGTGCGAACCCTATCAAGAAAAACGTTAGCCATCGCCTTCATGGCATTCGTCGCTTCTTGCGGAGGAAATCTTCCTGTACATCTAAGTGGTTGTTTTTGCCGTCGGTAAAGGTTTTACACACGGAACCAGCTACTCCTGATCGGAAAAATTCAAATTCCATAATCCTAACTCATATTGATTTGAACGACGTAGTCGGTCAAAACTGACGGTTGATGTCCATCAAATCACGCCGATGATTTTAAGTTGCATCACCTGATGAGTTTATATAAACCCATGTGATAAGCTTACTGTTGACGTGATCTTACAAAATTCGGATGACTGACTAAGTAACGGTGAAGTAGTCCACATTCCAACGATGATGTTAAGAGTAGAGTGAGTACAACCAGCAAGCAGTACGATAAGGTTAATCGATGAATTCAAGCTATCGTACCACAGCAACATGACTGTCGGTTGTAGCACAGTGAAGTGGCATGCTTGTAGGGTGAGCACAAGCGCTTACTCAGTCACATGCTACGAAATGTAAGTGTGAAAAGAACGGCAATGATCCATAGGCATAAATAAGCTGAACCCAGTCGAGATGCGCCGAACTTTAATAAAGGTTCAAACGATAGGGCCAGTAGGTCACATGGCACATGATTATGACATACATGCGGGCAGATTACAATGCGGATTGGAATTAAACTCATTGGATCCTGCGTGAAATCAATTGGTGGGCGTGCCTAACATTGATCTTTAAAAATCAACATATTGGACGTATTTGGAGAGGCGAGAACACATGGGCAGAATAATCGACACCCTACTGCGTGACTCCAAAAATATCTTGCCAGGAACACTAACACTATTCCCATGTGAATAATTAGGTATTTCGAAATATCCCAAAGTCAGTATTGGGAAATGGAGCATACAACTTTGAGTTAATCGTACAATTGCTGACATGACAGCAATATTTAAATTCAACTAATTTTTATGAAGAGTTTGCCAAACCCCTTAATACTGGAAAGACCATCTCAGTTCCAGCGTTGAGGTAATCGTAACTGCGGTCTTCTTTCAGTGGAACTACCTATATACTCACTAGAAACTTACTGTTCTTCATTGTGGATATCCTGTAACGACCACATCCCCAAGCAGTTGATAAATGATAAGTGCTCCCCAGAATTTAGGTGCAGCGTATTATCTTTCGAACGTGGGGCTTGTTCTAGCTTCTCGAGAGATATTTTCGAATATTTCTATAAACAACGGGATGCATACTGAATTTGGAAGCCTGGTTGATTGACACCAAAGGAAAATTCACTAAACAGTGCATTGTGACTTACTTTACTCCATGTCGGCATTTGTTTGTTTCTCGTTTCATTCTCCTCATTTACCAGTTGCAGTGTTTTAGCTGTCCTGCTTCTTTGTTCTTTATAAAAGTCATTTGTTTATTGATCTGGATACCTGAAGTTTGGAAACAATATATCCAAACCCTAAGTAATCAAACGGATTTCTCGGCGTAATTGTCCTCCCTATCTCAGTACTTTTTTGTCCCCGCTCGACTTTTCAGGTTTGCTGCTGAAGGATTTCTATTAAAACTCTTCGTTACGAACAACTCACAGAAACTCATTACTTTAAAAATAAGCTCTTTTATATTCGTGCGAGTGGATGTTTGGCAGATTTTAAGTTTCCTTGGCGAAGTTCAGTAGCCTCAGTGGGATTCGAATCCACACATGGAAGCCACCTACTCTTTTGAACAGCGCAGGCTCTACCAGCTGAGCTACGAGGCCACAGTGGTAGCAACGATCGGGTAATTCGAATGTGAAAGTATCAGTGCTGTCGGTGTGGTCTCGTAGCTCAGCTGGTAGAGCATGCGCGTACAAAGCGTAGGCGGCACCCATGCGTGGGTTCTAATCTTTTATATTCCTTAATTTGTGAGCTAATATGGACTTCACCTAAATGTTTTTCATTTAATTGATTGCATTTTCTACACTTCTCTTATCCGTGTCATTGACCTTTCTTCGAATGATCCTAATAACACCCTCTTCAGAGTTAAACATTTACAGCACCCAGATGCCATTCTGCAGATATTTTTTTCTGGACCAAATATACTGAAAACACTGTTGCGTCTTAAGCTGAACCGGTTTGGTTCAAACGGTAAAGTCTTTTTACGATGCAAATTGTCCATCTCATTACTACCTAATATTCTCTTGGTATATTATCAAGATAGCGTAGAAAAGACTTGAGCATCATTGGTTTTTGGTTATATAACATAAGGAGCACTTTCTGAATACAGTCAAATGGTTTATTTCCCACTCTTCGTGAGGGCGATACAAAAGCTTGTATTTACTTTTCCGATCAAGTATCTTTAGAATAAATTCATCATTCATGTACCCTGTCGAAAATCCCCTCAGTGCGATCAACGTCCTTCATCACAAACTAACCCTTTGTCCGAAATGTCCATAGTTCCACACGGATACGGTTATACGGTGATGGAAACTTTCATCTTGATGATCAATGTTTCATCTTTTTATTTTCGTTTATCGTGACTAAGACGAATGACACCCACGTGGATTTATAAAATGGAATGCGGTAGATATTTGTCCACTTTTATGTGCAATACTATACTAACCTCCAATAACAATGATAATGTTCCATGCAAGCAACCG